GCTACGCTATTACAAGGCTTCGGGTATTTACATAGCCAAAAACAAACCCGTAAAAATAAACGATAAATGAAAGTAAAAGGTCCTAATTAAGCTATTACAACTTGTGAGCAATTACATTAATAGGGTAAAAATAAATGATAAAGCGCACGCGAGGAAATCAAGAACGAGAAGAAATTAGGGTTTTGACCCTTTCTAACCTAATTGAAAGAAACAAATATTTTTGTTGTTTTTGACTATTTTTAAGAAAAAGAATTAGGTTTTTAAATTAAATACAAAAATAATTAGTAATTAAATTAATTAAAGAAAATAATTAAATGACCTATTTTTTTGTTTTGTTATTTTTTAAGAAAAAGAAAATAGAATTAAATTAAAACCCTAATTGTTCTAATTGCTTTTAATTTATTTACAAAAACAATTAAAGTTACCTAAAATTAAATAATTAAATTAATTAATTTTTGATAAAAAATAAACCTAAATCTAATTGGATGAAACATATTATTTTTGTGATTTTTTTATAAAAGGAAAATTAATTTGTGTAAGTGAAATAATTAAGAAAAATATAAAAAGAAAATAGAAAGAGAAAATTGGGCCTGGAAAGTGATTTGGAGGGTGTATACAGCAATTCTAGCCCAAGAAGAGATACCCCACGTTTGACTTCCAATATTCCATGCTTTGCTTTAACTAATCGCCTTTGGTGGACCATCACTTGATAACCATCAGATCTGGTCTCCTGACATCTGGCTGGTTGGATTTTGAGGATGTATGGTGGTCTTTGGCCTTGTGTGCGTGCTGGATCACTGAAAGAAAAATAATATGCAAGAATTGGGGGACCTAGGATTCGAACCCAGGCCCCAAAGCACTTTTCCAACGCCTGGCCACCAACTGAGCTGTGTGTTTCATTTGTATATAAAATAACAATAATATATAATATGCAAATAAAGGGAGTTAGTGGGGAATAATAAAAACGCGCGCTAGAATTTTGAATGGACCAACAGGATGATACACGTTGGTCATCCCTGTCCTTGCTCTGTTGCTAAAAGTGAAAGGCTTTTACCTACAGACGTATGTCTGTAGCTACAACCTTGGTTCGTTACAAAATCCTTCTTGGATATGATAAATGATTTCTAATGCCATAAATCGTATCGTCTTGTCATCCAGAACATTATGATACCCTTCACGGGGGCTAATTTTGCCTGCATACAAAAACCCTAAAACGAAACCACAAACCCTAACAATGGCAATTCTTGATTCAGTCTACAAAAATGCAATTGGATGATATGGATAGCTTGCAAATGTGTAAAGGAACAAGAATGTATAATTATTTCATGCTATAAGTGCCAGAATTACACAATTCGATTTCAAAAATAACCCAAGGTCGTGGCTGACTTACAGTGAGTTATAGGGCCTGAAAGTGCTTGTTCTTGATTGGTTTTGCTTGCTTGTGATCCCAGGAAGCGATTGGGATGGTTGAAGAGTCTTGAGGATGCCTGGAAGTGTGAAATCGTGTCTGCACTTTTTGTGATTTTTTCAAGTTTGGTTCTTGTTCTTGCGCCTCTCTCTAGCCTCGTTTTAGGTCTGCAATTTTTCAATATATATCAAGGATTAGATTAGGGTTCAAAACATGATCCCAATCTTCCTCCATTATTGATTTTGATTTTGATTTGATTCACTTAAAAATCTTGCTAAAAATAGGTCAAACTCAATCTTTTTATGCACACAAAGGCCTTGCACGAATTCAATCACTTGCCAACTGGATATAGGACTTGAAACAAGCACAATATCTTGGGATTTCAATGTTTTGGATTTTTCCATGATTTGTTTTGATTAAAATTGATTTAATTCAAATAAAAAACAAAATAAATAATAAAAACAAGATAATGACAAGTGGCAAGGGCTAGGGCTCGTGGACCATGCTACCAACTCAAAACAAGTGCAAAAGATTATGCCCATTTAGCAAAAATTGCAATTTGAGGCATAGTTGACTTTTGACAATTTTGCAAAAAAGGTCAACTTCACCAATGCCTAACTTCCTCAATTTTGACTCTTTGAAGGTGTTCTTGGACTTTTTAGAAAGCTTGAGATGTCCTCTAAGCAACCCTTTTGGTCTCATCTCAATTTTGTATTCCATGTTCATGTGTGAAGCTTTGACAAAAAAGGTGTTTTGTTGACTTTTCAAAATGACCTATAATGTCCAAATTCATAACTTCTTGTGAGTGCATATTTTGAACTTGGGAGCTGAAGATGGATTGTAGAGATTTTCATCCTCTTAAAAATGAGCTTTGCATGGGTCATTTCTCATAATGTATGAAAAAGTTATGCTTGGTCAAAGTTGAGTTGACTTTTCCTATAAAACCCTAATTTAGCAACTTTTGGTTCATGATGAATTATGAACAATCCTTGATGAATCATGATCAACCCTTGATAAAATGATGAATAATACTTCAAAATGAGGATGTTGACCAAAAATCTTGAAGTTTGACTGTATGTAGGCAACGGTTGACTTTTGCCCTAGCACAGTCGATTTTCAGGCCTTTAAGCAATTGACTGAGCAAACTTTCTCTGTAGGGCTTGAAACTTGACATGGATGATCTTGAGAACATATTAGGACAATGGTGAACATTTGGGATCCCTTGGACTCAAGTATCTTAATGCAACATGAAACCCTAATTTGAGGTAGACTGCCTTAGGAGAGAGCTTGTCTGGTCAACCCTTGGACTTCCTTGAGCAACTTAAGCATCTTTCTTAAAATGTTTTGAGAAATATGGGAGAGAAAATTTTGGGGTACAACAACTGCCTCTGTTCAATCTTCTTAAACCTGAGGATGTAGATTGGCTTTTCTGCCTTTCGTGATCCGAAGGTGGAAGATGATTGAACACTAGAGTGCTTAGAAATTTGCACTCGCATGAAGTGGTAATTGTATTGTGATGTTGGGAATGGGCTTACAGATGCCATTTGGAAATTGATAACGGAAGATGGGCTTAAAGATGCCATCCGAAGGAGTGTCGATCACATAAGAGATTCCTTAGAGAGAGCTTGTATACCTATTGTTGAGGAAGATTCCGCTGGGGAATGTTGATCTCTGTCTTGAGAGAGATGGAATTTTAGGAGCTCCGGTCGTCCGTTATTTTACTGGGAAATCGTCTCTTGGTCGAAGAGGTGAGGAAGAAACTACTATCTGGTCGTGATCCAGGATTCATAGTGACTTACTGGGGAGATGAGATTAAATTTGCTATCCGGTCGTAATCCGGGATTCGCAATTTCTTGATTCTTATCTGGTCGTAATCCAGGCTTCAGAAGGAATTAAGTTGTTATCCGGTCGAATCCGGGCTTTAACTTGAATTTAGGGCACACTAATATCCGGTCGACTCCGGGCTTCTTAGTAATTGTCCAAGTAAACTACTATTTGGTCAAAATCCAAGCTTCACAGTGACTTATAGTGTTATCTGGTTGTAATCCAGGCTTCAGTCCTTTTATCGTTATGTGGTCGTGATCCAGGCTTCACGATGCTTTATACCATTATCTGGTCGAATCCAGGCTTCATGGTGTTCTGTACTGCTATCTGGTCGTCCTCCAGGCTTCACAATACCTTACTTCTGTGGCAACTGGTTTTTAAATCAGAGTCGCCACCCTTAATTTTTATCCTAAAGGAATGGAGTATAAAGGAATAACCCTAAAATTCAGAGATTCTAAGTTTGACTCGGTTCTAGACGAGGGGAAGGTGTTAGGCACCCCTCATCTACCTTGTTCACAAGGATACTAGGTTTAGAAGCGCATTGTTAGGAAATATGGTTTTTAAGTATAATTAGTGGAAAAGGGTTTTAATTTTAGTTAGCGAGACTCACAACGATTTTTGATCGTATGCCTACGTATCCTCCTTAGGAGGAATCAGAGTCTCATTTTCGTAGTTCGCGGTGTTTGGTTTGTGTTTTTTTATGGATTGCATAGAATTGCTTTCGAATTAACTTTGAACTTTGTCTGGGTTGTAAACTGAGTGATCGTAGACGCGGTTCATAGTTTGATTCGAAGGCGATGCTATTTAATCCTTTTTGAAAATATCCTGGTTTTGATTATGTTAGTAGAAAATGATTTGATGTTGTTGATTAGCTAATTTAAGACGTAGAGCAAAGGAGTCTGATATAGCCTCCTCATCACGTGGCCAGATATTGGCCACATGTCGCTTGCGGATGTAGTAATTTGGTGAGTTGCATAGATTTTTATTGTTTGATTTTGAATGATAAACCGGTAGACGATGTGTCGACCGATTTAATTACTCGAGGATGGACATCTTGTTATTTATAGAAATATTGAATTAATTATTCTTGATTAAAAGTTATTAACTTAATCAAGAAGCTAATTGCGTTAGCTAAGCTAATTAAATAAGTTAGGAATAATAAATTAATTAGGAATTAAACTAATTGCAAAACCTAAAATAGAGTGTGAATAGAATATATAGGTGTTAATTAGTAAAAGAGCAGAGAGGGTAAATTAGAAGCCCAAGGCCCAATGTCTTCTCTAAAACCCTAACTTAACTATTTGATTAATCAAGCTAACAATAACAACAAAAATGAATTAAAGATGAATGGTGGAGCGCCTCATACTGTACCTCCCTCTGAAAGTTGGTTTTCGAAAACAATTGCAATAACCAATGCTAGTGACAAGTGGTAAAAATTGATTGGGATAATAATAAATTAACAAATAAATAAATGAAATAAAGAGGTAAGCAATTTATGAATGAGAAACAGAAACACCAGTACACGCCTTTTCTTTTCAATGGTCTCTCATCCTCTTCCTTACCCCATGTTTCAAATTCTGCCCAACAAATCATAACAATAACTGTTATACAAATAAAAAAGGGGAAGAACCAAGGAAACTCACAGTGTCGGCTCTATGGCCAGAAGTTGGTGATGACGAACGGTGGTTTTATGGATTTGCGGAGGAAGGGTTCAGCGGATCTGAGAAAGTGATTCGGCGGATCTGAGAAAGTGGCTCGACGGTTGCTTTCAGACGTTGAGTAGAGCGTTGGCTGGTTGTTCATGGTGTCGTGCGGCGAGATCGGCCGGTGTTGCAATCGCAAAGTGAGGAAGGCCGAAGCTGGTTGAACGGCAAGGCGGTCTGTACGAATGAAGTCTGTGGAGATAGGGTGCGGCTGGAGCTTCAGTTGTCCGCGTCGTAGCTTTGAGGTGTTGTCGTCGAAGGTGATGAAGTCGAAGGTGATGAAGTCGCCGGCGAGAGTGGATCATAGAGAGATGGCCGATGTTGTGCGGATTACTTTGTTTTGTTCTTTTCATATTTCTGCAAAAAAGAAAATAAACCTCTACCAATTTGTTAGCATCAAGTATTATGTTGTGTTGTATCCTTTAATGAAATTTAGTTAATGGTTTTGATAGGAGGAGCTTGTGAAAGTTAGATTACAGTATATGTTTATCTGGATTAGAATGGAAATGTTTGTTTTGGTTGAATTTAGAATGGTGATGATAATGGTTTGTGTTGGTATGGTTCTACTGTATAAAATAAGCTAGTGGTAGAAAAAGTGGGTTTTGAAATTGTTAGAAAAAATTAGTAAGAATATTAGTTAAAAAGAGATAGGAAATCAGTAAAATTAAGTAATGTAAATAGCGAGGTAAAAAAATGGTTTAATGATGAAATTCCATTTTCAACGGGAAGGTTAGTTTTCGATGATAAACTATTTAGTTTGACCAATATGTCATCATGTTAGTGAAAGTTTTAAAGGAAAAAGTTAGTACGAAAATATAATTTAAAATAAACGTAACCATCAAAATATCATCATGTGGTTAGAACAACAAACAAATTAAAATATGAAAAAGATAAAGAAAAAATTGAAATTATAAGGGAGGGGAGGGGCCTCATAAGAAAATTATCGGCTTTTAATAAAGAAACTGTCATTGTTGTTTGATATAGACAACAATTCTATAATTAACTAAGAATAAGAATTATAAAAATTTGAAAGAAAAAAAGCAAGTTTTTTGTGGATGAATTGTAAAATTTCTGGATGATTTAGAAGTGAAAAACATGTCCTATTTATAGATTAAAAAAAATCATCCAAATTTGAAATAAAACAAACTTGACCAATAAAAAATAAGGTGTGACACAAATTGACATCCAATGGCCAATAAGAAACACCTATTTAAAAAGGAAAGAAAATTAGTGACAAAAAATAGAAAAAAGAAAAGAAAATATTGAAAGCGCGGCATAAGAGATTCGAACCCGCGACCTTATATTTGAAAGTTGTGCTATGTTACTCATTTGTAAATAAACTCAATTGAAAGTATATGAAATGTATGGGAATATTTATTTATTCAAAAATACAAATGATCTGAAATAAATCATTATATTTTTAAACAGGTTTGGAAGTGAATATTTTATAAAAATAAAATAATATTTTAAAATCAATAATTAAAATATTTTTGACTGGACTTGAGAATGAACATTTATAAAAATCAAATAATATTATAAAAACAATGTTTAAAATATTTTTGACTGTAGACATAAAAGGGCGGGCAAATTTGGGGTATGACAACTTCTTATCTGGTCGTAATCCAGGCTTCAGAAGAGATCAAATGGTTATCCGGCCGTAATCTGGGCGTCCCTTTGGCTTTGGGCCTACTAATATCTGGTCGTAATTCGAGATTCATAGTATTTGGCTGGGTAAAGTGCTATTTGGTCGTAATCCAAGCTTCACAGTGTCCCTTACTGTTATCTGGTCGTAATCCAGGCTTCACAGTGTCTTTTACCGCTATCTGGTTGTAATCCAGGCTTCATGATGTCTCATACCATTATCTGGTCGAATCCAGGCTTCATGGTGTTCAGAGGAAATCAAGATACTATCTGGTTGTAATCAGGGCTTCATAACTTATATTAAAGATATACCACTATCTGGTCGTAATCCAGGCTTCGCGGTGTCTTTGGCTGCTATCTGGTCATAATCCAGGCTTCACAGTAACTTGTATTGCTATCTGGTCGTAATCCAGGCTTCACAATAACTTGCTGAGCTGTTATCTGGTCGTAATCCGGGCTTCACGGCTTGCTGGGGATTAAACTATTATTCGGTCGTTCTCCGGGCTTCATAGTTTAAAGATAAACCACTATCTGGTTGAATCCAGGCTTCGCGGTGTTCGATACTGTTATCTGGTCGTTCTCCGGGCTTCACAATATGCTGTAGAAATCAAGGTACTATCCGGTCAGATCCGAGCTTCATAGCTTGAACTTGGTGAGAATTTGATTATATCTTTCCTGAAAGGTAAAGGGTTAATCGTATGTAATGCATGATATGTATCAAGCAATGGTGTTCTCAAAATAAATGAGATTGTGTTGTATGATGCGTATGCGTATGTCATGATGTATGGATATGTAATGTTTTTATGATAATCTCTAGCTGGGGAAAATAAATTCCGGATTGCTGCTGGAGAGTGCAAGAAGTCGAATTCTTCGTTTCCGCTGGGGATAGTGAATGAAGATGACTGTGAGAATAATTCTGCTGGAGAAATAAATGTTTTTTCTTTTAATTAGGTTAGATGGGGTCAAAACCCTAACTTTTCTCGTTCTTAATTCATTGCGCGCGCTTTATTATTTTTACAATATTGATGTAATTGCTCATGTGATGTAATAGATTAATCAGGACTTTTTTCATTCATTTATCATTTTTTTACGGGTTGTTTTTGGCTATGTAATACCTGAATCCTTGTAATAGCGTAGCTTTATTTTCCGCATTTTTTATTTCTGCAAATATTAACTATTAGATGTATGATATTAGGGTTGCATGACAAGAATGTATGTAATTTTAAAACGGTTAGCAAATCCTAAATGTGCAAAAATAATAACTTGAAATTGAATCACTCGCACATGCGTACTCCTAGGGTATACTCTCACTTCGGTTGCCTTCAGTAAACAGTCATTAGGTATAGGATATTTTAGTAGTTTCTCTCTTGCCTAAACAAAGATCAAAGTCCCGTTCGGAAAAGTTGCCTCAGAATGGTTGCCTCGGATATTGTTGCCTCGAATATTGATCTCAAGACATTAGGGTTATTACTAAGACGTCCTAGCATTGCTTTAGTGATTGTACGTCCCTTTCGAATTGACCCTTAAAACTCCAACGATAGTGCTACCTACTCATTAATAGTGGGATAACACTGTCTAAAGGAAACAAGAACAGAAATATTCTTTTTTTCGAGTAGGTAGATTAGTTCTTAAGTACTTGCTCAAACAAACAAACTTTTTCACACTTACACTCTTTTCAAACAAAGTTTTAAAAACAACTTCGTAACACTCTTCAAACACACAAGCAAATTTTGAAAATGATGATCAAGTACCTAAGAGCCCGTGGAAAACCACGGATAGAAAGGGTGCTAATACATTCCTTTTCTATAATCTACCCCTCGTACTCAAAATCTCAAAGAAAGGAATTTTTCTGTGCTTTTGTCCTTTCCAGTTGGATAAAACAAAAGTCGGTGGCGACTCTTGCGTACCGCGACATTTTGCGAACACAAACGCAAAATGCAAACCAGTATTTTCAAAACAGTCTGGTTCTGCCACCGTATCACACATTGCACTGTGACGGACCTGGAAATGCAACTGATCTATGCAAGAAAGAAAGGTATAAGTGTTAATTGGGCAGGGCTCATAATGGTTCATATGCTGAGAGTTGATGCAAAATCGAAATTTCTACCATATGCTTACTTTGTTACATTAATTATGGAAGAATTTGGAGTTGATTTTGCTGGGTTTAAGAAAGTCAATATGGATCCAAATTTGCATAAGATTTCAATCAAGAATGTTGACTCAAGAAGGGGTGTTCATTATAATCCGGAAACAAAAACTATAACTTACATTGGTGAAGATGTGGTTGGTGATGAAGGGAACGACCAAGAAGTTGAAGGTGGTGAAGCTGTACCTCCTCCTCCTACTGCTCCCTCTGGTCCAAGCAATCAAGATCTTATGGATTTCATGTCTCAACAATTTTCTTCCATGAATACCAACATCAACAACCAATGGAATGCTATCAATGATTCTACAACAACCCGGATTAATGACTTCCTCATAGATGTGAATCAACAATTCTCTTACCTTTACTCTCATCTTCATATTCCACCATATGACCCAAATAATCCAGCTGCACCTCCACAACATTACACAGAACCTCCTCTACAACAACAATTTCCAAATCAAGGATCTTGTTCTATAACAACCGGGACATGAATCAACCATAAAGTTCTGTCCAACTTTATCATGTCTACTGTTTTCGGTTATGTCCTTGTTCAGTTATGCTACATCCTGTTTGTTGTTAAATTTCTTTGTAATTGTTAGGTTACTATGTGTTTCCAGTGATTTCTGGTAAACAACCGCTAGTCTTCCAAACTATCGAATTATCTTTCTGACTGTTATTCAATTCCTCTGGTAACTCACAGGATCGACTAGATTGATCCTAGGATTCCTTGGACATTAAGGTTACTCTCATGATCGAACAGATATTCATGGTTGATATTTGAGTGTTGTATATACGTTTGGCTTATTTCTATTTCTCTCTCAAAAGGTCTAAAGATGTAATCAAAATGTGCGTGTACGAAACTAAGTTACATGAATAAATGTTAATTGTAAAGACATGTAAAATTGCATAAAAGGCAAGTAAATGGTTTCGAATTATAAAAACAGTTAATGTAAGGGATTTCTGGAACGTAAAAGGTTTGAAATATGAAGAAAGCGTTTAATGCAAGAAATCTGTAAATGACTTCAAGTAAAAATATGCGTTCGAAGGATAAGACTTGAAGGTAAAGGTATGGAAAATATGACAGTTTTCTGAAATGTGAAGTGCTTGAAATGTAATTAAAGCATTAAAATGTAAAACTTTAAAGAAGAGATTTCGAAGTGAAAAGACTGTAAATGAGAAAACTTGTAAATGTTGTTTGACAGAAAGATAAAGGAAAGTGCTGGAAATAGTAAAAGGTTTTCATTAAATCAGAAATACATGGTGCTATCATACGTACATTTCTCTTGCATTCGTTTCCCTTGCCATGTGGTAGTTTGAATGTTACTGAGTATTTAGTACAATAGATATGACACACGAAATCCTAATATTAAGACTTCTATTTATACTAATTCGACCATAACGGTCTTGCTATAGGATTATGCCACGTTCAGAACATGCAGAACAATGCCTCTTTCTTCTTTCCACGTGTCTCCAAATGCTCCAGCACATAAATTTCAAACTTTGAATGTCCCGCTTCCATTTGAATTTCAAATGCTTTGGTACTTCTCCGTTTCGAACGTACTTCCC